CGCAAATTCTTCGAGATAACCACCAGCCGTCGTCTGGCTCGCCGTCGCAGTGTCTGACGTATCTCCGGTCTGATCTACGAGGTGTGCTGGAGGTGTTCGTGAAAAATGAGATCCGTGATGCTGTCACCTACACTAAACACGCCAAGCGTAAGTGGCCATGGATGTCCTCTTCAATAAAACGGCCCTTTTCAGGGCCATCAAGCTTAAATCAGTAAAAAGTTGGAATAGAATTTATCTGTGCTTGTTTGTCCATATTCAGAACCACAAGCCCCCAACAGCCACACAAACTTGGAAGCAGGGGTGCAAGTGATTTTGATTGATTCAGGGTGGCCAGCAAACCGGGAAATCCGGGAATACCGGGAAATATCCGGGAATTTGGAAAGTATCCGGAAAAACCCGTGAATTCTGCAAGAGAACCGGGAAAGTAAATTAACCATATCATAGGAACAAATTTTTACATCAGAATTTCAGAATGAACCATTAAAACAGAGTGATCCTTTAGCAAATGAATGTCTTGCTCTATTTGTTACATAATTTTCTTCAGTATACCGTCTTATTGTTTTTAGAATTTAATCACTCAGCAATATTGCAAATTGATTTTTGTCGTTTCAATTTCAGATGTAAAGTGCATGATTCTCTAAAGAAAATATTGAAGATGCTGGAGTTTGGAAACAAATATTTGTAAAAACAGAAACTAAATTATTCTTTTCCGGGGTTTTAATTTTTCGTTGTTCAAAATTCTCATGATGAATTCCAGAATTAACTTGGAATTCTGCTCTGAATTATCTTGAAATTGTTCTGAAATAAACCAGAAAACGCTCCACGTAATAATTACCGTTGAATTCCTTTAGGAATTTTATTCCAACCCCTTCTAAGAATTTATTGGAATCCTTCATATAATTCTCGTTCCCGCCTATCCAGAGACTTTGATTCCTTTAAAAATCTTTTCAAACATTTCTTTTAACTCTATTCAAAACAAAAGAAATCTTTCGAAAATTAATGTTTAAACCCCGTGGAGTATTTTAAAGAATTTCTTTCTAATTATCAGCAATTTTTTTTGGAATCAATTTTGTTTGGGTTATGTGATGAATCATTCGCACTAGGGTTGAAATTATTGCCAGAACATTTTAAGAACTCTGTTTCTTGTTGAATTCAAATCATAATTCTCTTGGAATTCTTCTTAAAATTCATCTGTCATGTTCCTCACGATGCCCATACAAATCTCATCAGAACCACGTAGGAATTTTCTGCAATGTTTTATTTTTATTTTCACAATTCTTTTTTAAATCTACTAAAATGACCTAACAGTTTAATTTAGAACTTGCATTCTTCTCCAAAGAAATCCTTCCAAATTCATCTAACAATTTCTATGGATTTCATGTAAGAATAATTCTGGAAATCTGCTCTTCTCCTTCGAAAACTGTATGGGAATCCGTCTCAATATTTGTTTTTAATCAACACTTTGAATTCTTTTAAATTTTACTAAAAATTCCAGGGTTTGTCCGCCAGATTCTACAGATTGCTATGTAATTTGTTATTACCCTTAAAATGCTTCCAAGTCTCAGAGCGTGACAATTATGACTCCACGACTCATAAGTATGATGTTTTTTTATAAATCTGTGATCTTTCAAATTTTAATTATTGTTTCTCCAAATCTTGCATCACGAAGCATGTTATTAATCACAAATTTTGAAGAAAAGTTCTAGTTTCAGACTCTACACAAATTTCAAAGCTCCAGAATCTTGGGAATCTTCTTAAATCACATTTTTTTATCCTATCAGTAAATTTTGTTTTTTTTTTTTGTTGCATATTAACAACCGGGAATTTTTAAGATTTGAACCGGAAAAACCGGGAAAAATCTGGGATTTTCAAAATGAAAATTCACTGGCCACCATGTTGATTCTCGTATTCAACTTTCTTTTTGAAACAGATTACTACAAATTTGGATCGCCTACAATTCAAAACCGGAAAGAGTTGAGATAATAGATATTTCAGGCATAACATTTGATAACGGCACAAAAGCATTTGTAAACAAACCTTCTTAGGCCCTTTACACGCGAACCAAAGTACGCCTACGCAAACCAACAACATCATCGCATAGGGGCAACTATCACCTTTCCGTAAGTGACATTGGTTTGCGTGGGCGTACTTTAGTTCGCGTGTAAAGGGCCTTAGAATGTTTGTTTACAAATGCTTTTGTGCGGTTATCAAATGTTATGCCTGATTTGATCAATTAAAAGAACTTAATACTCTTCACATTTATTCCGTCCACTAGCGGTCCTACGTCAAGCTTCCGTTTGTGCCCCTAGGCACAGACCCTTCTACTTTTTTAATCGGGGTGACGTCTAGAGGCCATAAATCGATGATCGACGCAATTTTATAGGGGAACTCCGCAGAACTGTAGCTGAAGTTCTGCAAGTGTTGATAGCAATAACCTCACCTTGAACATCAAGAAGTGTGAATTCGACAAGAAGCGCATCAAATTCCTGGGGCATGAGCTTGACGAAGAGGGATTTTACATCGATGAAGCTAAAATCAAGCATATTCAAAAATTTCGTGGACCGGCAACCGTTTCGGAACTTCGTAGTTTCTTGGGCTTAGCCTCTTTCATTAGTCCGTATATCAGCAACTTCGCAGATCCTACTAGCTCACTTTGTGAGGTCACAACAACTAAAGCGTGGAAATGGGGGCCACAATAATCCGTTGCTTTCGAGGCTACTAATCAGAAGATAGTTAAAAGCACTGGCCTTCATATGCCACTAATGGTAATTTTGACGTCAAATGGTACGTGTCTCTCACGTGAGTCCCGTTTGATTAGGCACGCGACAATAAGATGACATTTAAAACTAAAATATCATTTACTGTACATCATTTCCACTTTCGCCCTATTCAGATAACACTTCTGAAGTTCGTGAGTTAGACAGAACCACCAGCACCAAATTTTCGGGGTACACAGGAAATATACTGGAGTTGTCAAGTTGCCCCGAGTTGCTTCTAGATAGACCTAATCCAAACCAAAAATATTTGTTTAAATCACTGTTCAAAATAAATAATTCTTCATAATTAACAATAGCCTTCAACAATTGAAGCTTTTTTTAAAAAATATATTGTTAGAAACAGTTCGAAGCATCCACGATTTTTTTTGTTCTTTTTCAGGAAGCCCGAAGATGCTTTTTTTTTTAAGAAAAGAAGTGCCCTAGATTCCTCCCCTTGTTGATCGAATAGTTGAAGGAACACACTCACACAACGACACACCCGAGCCAACTTCCTTTTTGTTCCCCTAGCCACTGTAGTGGACACGGTTTGTTGGTTCTCGCAACACGCTCCACAGCTGGTGCTAGCGGGTACACTGTTAGACCAGTTTTTCTAGCCCTTCTGGCAACCGCGTCCGCTCAGCTTCACTGACAGGAACGTGATTTTCAATGCCCCACTAGCAACTACATATCAGCCTGTATTAGAAAGTTTTGTTGTTGTTCGATCACAAGTAAATTAGCCTGCAAAAGGGAAAGTTGATAAAAGAGGAAGTGTAGTTTTTTGTTGGTTTTTGCCATAACTTAATTCTCGTGATAAGCCGGAATATCGTTGCTGCCCATCGCTGAGCCCTTGGTGCGACGGATGAAGAAACAGTAAACACAACGTAGGGTAAGCGCGCCAACATAATTTTGGTGCCGTGACCAGGATATCTCCGTGCTGAGTGTTACTGGGCGCCGCCATCTTCAAGGCCGGCACAAAACGGTATTCAACGGAGGAGATTAGTTCGTGATCCTGATTGCTGCTTGTAAAATACAAGGCTTGATTTATCGGGCACAGGGTAACGACCTGTCCATTTGATTTGCGGGTATCACAGGTGCCCTTTAGATCTTCTTTCCCTTCTGCTTGCATGCGCTGATTGATCCCGATTGTTCCTGCTCGACAATTGCTTCTATTCACACCGGAGTGTGGCATTGTTGCTGACCTGGAAGCGCCATTTTCATCATCGATCGGCGCACAATTGGACCTTTGTGCACCTTGGCGTTCCTAGCCATTGTGTAGTACAATTTATACAATTTTCTGTTGTATCATCGCAAATTAAACTTATAGAAAAATTAAAACAATATTAGATTGATGTGAGTATAACATGTAATGGGGTGTTTACATCTGTGCGGATTTGCTAGCGCTAGTGTTTCGAAAATCGAATTGTTGTTGAGGACCAAGCATTCAGCATTGGACGTCGTGCAGCAAACTGTGGAGCATAAACTGAAGAAATTATCACACCAGCCGAGAGTATGTGCTGATCAGTCGGTTTTAAAATATTGGAAACAAATCAAATCCGAAGAGCCACAATTATACGCATTGTCCGAGGTAGTCCTTGCGGCCCCGTGTACCCAGGTATCGGTGGAGAGGTCATTTAGCGTCCTCGGATTGATCCTCACAAATAGAAGACTGCGCTTGGGGGATGAGAACCTCGAGAACATTCTGTTTGTAAAACTGAACAGCGACTTGTTCAAGACCGTTGAAATGAATTTCACAGAAGTATGAACGGCCTCGTTTCGCATCTTTTTTTACTTCCTTTTCTTCTTTCGCCTACAATAAATATTAGCATTAACTATACATACTTGAAATAAAATACCTTCTAAACCACGAAGCAAAATTGTTTACTGTTCTGATCAAAACATATTGACGACTGTCTCATCTAAAAGTCTAGCCTACTTGTTTTAGCATAAAGTAGAACGCCGTTTGAAAAGTACCGTTCGTTAGTTTTGACTACGAAAAAACCTACACGAAGCGTTTTCTACGTACACACGAAGCGTTCGTTTCGCCCATTCGCTCGGTCCGTTTGCACTCGTTCAACGCATAGTTCGGTTATGTTTGCAACCGAACGGAGGGTGTGCAAGTATAATCTTTCGGTTCGGTTCATAGATGCTGAACGAATAGACAGAGCATCACAACCGAACGCAGGGTGCTCGTTCGTTGCTCGCTTTCGTTCCAGGTGACATCTCTGGTATATCTCCCTCGGCCACATGCGGTTGGTTGAAGCGGATGATGAAAATGCTCCAGCCTACTATCTGCCCCACCACCCCGTAATTAAGGAAGCAAGTACGACGACCAAGGTCCGAGTTGTTTTTGATGGCTCAGCTAAAACTTCTTCCGGTTTCTCCCTCAACGAAGCTCTTTGCGTGGGTCCCGTGGTGCAGGACGATCTCCTGGACATCATTCTGCGGTTTCGTACCTTTTTCATCGCTCTAGTCGCCGACATTGCCAAAATGTACCGGCAGATACTTGTACATCTGGACGACACACCGTTCCAGCGTATCCTGTGGCGATTTTCCAAATTATCACCCGTCCAAATCTACGAGCTGCTGACCGTTACGTACGGTTTGGGCCCATCATCCTACCTAGCAACACGTACTCTCCAGCAATTAGCAGAAGATGAAGGCGCTGCATACCCGAATGGCGGTCCAGCGTTGAAGAAGAATTTTTACGTAGACGACTTCATCGATGGTGCTCAATCCGTCGAAGAAGCGATCCGTCTGCGTACAGAGCTCGACGAACTATTGAAGAAAGGTGGATTCGAACTACGGAAGTGGACTTCAAATCAGCTCGAGGTGCTGCAAGGTTTAAGCGATGAACAAGTTGGAACGCAATCCGCTCTTCACTTCAACCCAGATGAATCAATCAAGGCGCTCGGAATAATATGGGAAACTGAGGCCGATCTTCCCCTTTCGATTCCCAGATTCGAGTCAGCGACGAGCCTCCGACAAAGCGGTCCATCCTCTCCGATACAGCCAAGCTTTTCGACCCTCTTGGACTCATCGCACCAGTAGTTGTTCGGGCGAAGATCATCATCCAGGAACTATGGCTTCTGTCCTGCGACTGGGATGACCCTGTACCAGAACCCGTCAAGTCGAAATGGGAATCCTACCAGCAAGAACTCTCGAGAATCTCTGAGCACCGTGTTGACAGATATGCTTTCCTTCCTGATTCAGTAATCCAACTGCACACTTTCGCAGATGCTTCTCAAACCGCTTACGGTGCCTGCACCTACGCCCGCTGTGAAGATAGTCAAGGACGAGTGAAGATCCAACTCCTAGCGTCGAAATCTCGTGTAGCACCGTTGAAACGAGTCACAATCGCCCGTTTGGAATTATGTGCAGCTGTGATAGCCGCTCATCTACATGCTCGCATCAAGAACGCTATTGACGTTAGCATTTCTGCATCCTACTTTTGGTCGGATTCCGCAGTCACACTACAATGGCTACGATCACCTCCGAACGTCTGGCCGACCTACGTGGCCAACAGAGTCTCGGAAATCCAACAATACACACAAGGCTGTCAGTGGAAACATGTCCCTGGAGTTGAAAACCCTGCCGACTTGGTCTCTCGCGGCATGTCAGTCGACGATTTCCTCAAGAACGATTTGTGGATTCGTGGTCCAAATTGGCTATCGCATTCACCCCAAAACTGGCCAATTTCTATCCCCCCGGGAATACCAGAGGAAGAGTTGGAGATAAAAACTACCGTTGCAGTCATTCAAGCTTCACCGACTGTCCACCCATGGTTTCTGCGATGGTCTTCCTACAGTCGTCTGCTCCACGTCATTGGATACTGCATGCGCTTCGTCACTAATGTCCGTTTGAAAACCCGCACACAACCCTCGTCATCAAATGTTCCCGTCGGTCAAGCACTCACCGTTGCAGAAATCATTAAAGCCAAAACCTATCTCACCCGATTAGCCCAAGAGGATGGATATGCTGCGGAAATAAAACAGCTGAAGAAGGAGAAAACCGTATCGAAGCAATCGCACATACGCAACATGAGCCCGTTTTTCGATTCAGAGGGAGTGTTGAGAGTGGGAGGTCGTCTTGATTTTGCTCTCTTGCCCTACCAATCCAAACATCCTGCCCTGATTCCCGCAAACCACCCGTTCACCCGCCTAATCGTCGAATATTTCCACCGCAAATTGCTTCACGGCGGCGGCCGCCTACTTTTGACTGCTGTTCGAGAGGAATTTTGGCCACCCAGGGGACGTAGACTGGTTCACAGTACCGTCCGAAACTGCTTCCGTTGTACTCGCCTCAATCCAATACTTGCTCAGCAGCAAATTGGGCAGTTGCCTGCTCACCGAGTCATTCTAAGCCGTCCATTTAGCGTCACTGGTGTTGACTATGCTGGCCCGCTTTATCTTCGACCGATACACAAACGCACTGCACCTGCCAAAGCCTACCTGTGCCTCTTTGTATGCTTCTCGACCAGAGCAGTACACCTGGAGTTAGTCAGCGACTTGTCCACAAAAGGTTTCCTGTGTTCCCTTCGAAGGTTCATCGCTCGCCGTGGGCGACCCGCCCACATCCACTCTGATAACGGGAAGAATTTTGAGGGAGCAAAGAACGAGCTGGCTGAGCTATTTGTCAGATTCCGTGACCGTTCCCAGCAAGATGAAATCGTATCTGCCTGCGCCAGTGAAGGGATCACCTGGCATTTGACACCACCCAAAGCCCCACACTTCGGTGGCCTCTGGGAAGCGGCTATCAAAGTAGCGAAAAAGCACCTCTTTCGCACACTAGGATCATCTCGCATGTCGTTCGAAGAAATGTGTACCGTCCTCACGCAAATCGAAGCAATCATGAACAGCCGGCCACTGCTTCCGATGACTGAAGATCCCAACGACATGTCCGCATTGACTCCAGCTCACTTCCTCATCGGTTCATCGTTACATGCTCTGCCCGACCCAGATCTCCGAAGCTTTCCGGCATACAAACTCGACCATTACCAGCAACTGCAACTGCATGTGCAGCAGTTTTGGACCCACTGGCGGAAGGAGTATCTTCAGGAGCTTATGAAGGACACCCGAGGCTGGAACCGCAACGAAGAAATCGTACCAGGGAAAATGGTCATCGTAGTCGACGAGATGCAACCTCCAATTCGATGGCCTCTTGCTCGCATCGAATCCATCTTGCCAGGAAAGGACAAATTAGTACGGGTTGTTATTCTCCGCACTGCTCGTGGTATCATCACTCGTCCCATCGCGAAAATCTGCCTGCTGCCGTACTCCACGGTAACTCCAGAAACGAAGGAATTTCCAGAAGATCCAGCGACAACGAAATGTTAGTTTCATTAGATTAAGCTGAAAATCTGTTAGAAGTAAGGAACAAAATCTAGTACGTAAGAGTAAAATTTATGTTGTTTGTTTATGTTTTCAATGTTGAACATAGTCGTTCAAGGTGGCGGGTATGTTGGTTCTCGCAACACGCTCCACAGCTGGTGCTAGCGGGTACACTGTTAGACCAGTTTTTCTAGCCCTTCTGGCAACCGCGTCCGCTCAGCTTCACTGACAGGAACGTGATTTTCAATGCCCCACTAGCAACTACATATCAGCCTGTATTAGAAAGTTTTGTTGTTGTTCGATCACAAGTAAATTAGCCTGCAAAAGGGAAAGTTGATAAAAGAGGAAGTGTAGTTTTTTGTTGGTTTTTGCCATAACTTAATTCTCGTGATAAGCCGGAATATCGTTGCTGCCCATCGCTGAGCCCTTGGTGCGACGGATGAAGAAACAGTAAACACAACGTAGGGTAAGCGCGCCAACACGGTTTGATATATTTTTTTTTTTTCTATTAATTTATTTGATAAGGCTCAACCGAATTAACTTTACAGAGCCGAGGATTCTTGTTCACTATACAATACATCTTAAAACTATAGTCAAAAGGTACAACATAATAAACATTTTATCTTCGGCTATCCAATAAGCCTCCTCCACGAGAACGGGAGCCGCTTCCAGTGGTTTACTTGTATGGCAGAGCCAACGAGGGTCAGAGCACTTCCATTGCAGTAATGGACGCAAAACGTGGTCAGCACTCACACATTCATCACGAAACGGTTGTTTTCCAAAGTCGACGACGCATCGACTGAAAGAACTGCTGATGAAGAACAATGAGGAGGACCACACAATGGTTGCTGCCGAGTAAACAGACGATCGCGTGACACACATTAAGAGTGGTCTGCTTCTGTCGACAGCCGAGTGAACACTCACGGTTTGATATGATAACAATGATTAATCTGTAACAAGTGTAAGTGTTGCGTCCAATATTGGTGAGATTAATCGCGTGTAGTTTTCGTATATTTAGTTATTAAATTCCAAGAAAAAGGTTAAATGTTCGTAAAAGGTAAAACGTCCCAGAATCCCCAAGAAAACAGCCAGTAGAAGACACTTCCCTATAAATTGTAGAACAATGCAACTAGCCACCACCAGAGCACGCTGTGTGCAGTCATGAATGGACGTTCATAGGGGTGGCGTAATGGCGGCCATTGCATGGAGAATTCGTGGCACGTATGACGGTTCAACTGTCACGGTTCGGGGTCATCGTTCACCAAACGGCACAGTCATAAGCCTGGTGATCATTAAAGACTACGGACATATAACGAAAGTCAGAGCTAAAAATCTATAGTTTGATTGTGAAAACGAAAGCTAAAGTGAAGTAAGCTAAATTGAAAGTTTACAGGAGTTGTAGAGGAAGTTGCCACGTACAATTGGACAGCCAGGTAATTAGCATCACAAACAAAAACCCCGAACCAAATCAAACCGTTGTCTATGTAGTAAGATCATGTCAATCGATAACCGCCATTTCAAATTCTCCATCGTGCCCACAGGACCTCGCGGTTTAACCGTAACTTTTACGTATTTAACGTATTTTTCCGGAGTCGACCACGCCAATCGGTGGTAGTGTGTCTGAATCGTAGATTTTTAACCTGATCCCACAGCTACAATGTGCGCCACCAATCCAGGCAAGCCAACTTACCCTTGTAGTTCGTTGAAGCCTCGAGTCCGTCACCATACTCGAGGGGCGTACGGGACAAGTAGAGGCGTCCACCTTTGGCCCAAGAGAGTGACGCGGTACCAGAGGAAGGAGAGGAACGACGACGACGGCAGTGGCAGGTGAAGGGGCCCCAAAGAAAATACGAAGAGTAGCGCAATCACAAGGTAGGAGAAGTCAACTAAGGAAGTAGGAGACGTCAGAGTCTAGACCAGCGTTGCCAGGATGTTTTAAAGCTTATCGGTATCAAAGGTTTTAAAAAATAGGTATTTATCGGTATTCACTATTTTAATTATTTTTATATTTTATTTTTTTAACTTTTGGACTATGATCGGAAAATTCCGGAAGAAAACTCCGGGGAATGTTTGAATTAGCTTCTGGAGGAAGCTAAAAAAATCCAGAGAAAGAAGAAAGAAGTTTTCCTGGAGGAAATTTGAGGAAAGTTCTGAGAGAAGTCGGAAAAACATCCATGGAACTTCTGAGGCATACATTGAGAAACTTCAAGCGAAAATTTTAAGAAACTTTCAGGAAAAACCGGATTTCACATTCAAATGAAGGCAACACAGTTTCGGAAATTGGAAGTAAATTCTAGAAGTAGCCATTTCCAGGGGAAGCCAGAAGAAGCTCCAAAAAACCTTCCAATAGAACTAAAAAAAAACCAACTGGACAAAATTCCAGAACTAGGCGAAAGGAATTTCTGGGAGAAGTTTAATTGAACTTTCAGGAGAAGACGGAAGAATCTTCCTGGAAACGCAGGCAGAAAATTCCTAAGGTATATTGGAAAAAAATTCTGGAGAAAGTCGGAAGCTATAGCGCTTACGGAACAGTCAAAAGAAACAAGGAGATAATTCCGGAAGAAAGAGCTCCTGGGGGATATTCTAATGATCCAGAAATTTTTCAAATGGTCATAAACATCCCTGAAGTCCCCGCAATGCCCCTGAAGTTTTTAGGACATTCCTGAAATGTACTTAGGGATTTGATGCTGTTTTGTAGTACTCTGATCATTTTTGAAATACCTGGAACTTCCCTAATTATAATGAAACTACCGGAGTATCTCAAATCAACTTCAAAGGTCTCTAGACTTTCTTAAAAATTCCGAAATTTCTTAAGCGCACAATTTTCTTGAATTTATTGTAACATCAGCATTGAAGTTCTTTGATCTTCCGATTTTTCTAATTTTTAAAAGTTATCGACACTGCCATTAATAGGCACGGAACTTCCCATCAAATGTTCTCACAATGTGCTTATGTTCATGTAACTTCCCTTACGTTTCTTAAATTTGCATTAACCCCTCGGAACATTGCTGAAGTTTTCGGAAATTGCCTAAGTTTCTCGGAACTCCTTTAACATTTCAGCGATTTCCTTGAAATTTATTCATCTGTCCTGACGTTCTCGGAGCTTCCTAAAGTTCTCTCAATTCTCCTGAAACTAATGGAACTGTTCTGAAAACCTTAAATTTTCCAGAAGTTCTTTGGAAATATTAATGATGTATCCTTAAGTTCACTGGAGTTCGCTTGACCGGATTTTAGAATTTTAACAGAAGTTATTGAAACATTTTTTAATTTATCGAAACGTACTCAAAAGTCTGAACTTTTCCGAAGTTTCAAAACTTCTTTAAAGTTCCTGCAGCTAGTTTGGATCTGCAATCAAAATCTGGAAGCATCCCTGAAAAACGGCGGGAGAAGATGGAATCCTTCTAGCGAAGGCTGAAGAAGCTTCCAAGGGAAGTCGAAATAAGTTTCCGAGAGGAATCAGAATTATCAGAAGGAGCCATCGACTGTTTATCGATTCATGGGTAGCCAAAAACGGTGAGGAAATTGAAACATTAATCGAAAGAGTATCTATAAGACATGTTTGAAGATGATTTTTTTAGAATTTTAAAGGCCTAAAAATTTTGAGTTTTTTAAAAAGATACAAGTCTTTCACAATAATTTTCTCCAAAATTCGAGCGCGAGCAGCCACTTATCATTTTGATTATTTAAAAAAAAAATCGGTATATATCGGTATAAAACCGGTATATATCGGTATAAACCTCAAAAATCGGTATTCTGAGGAACCTTATCTATATATCGGTATCTAGTTCGGAAATCGGTATAAATACCGATAAATCAGTATACCTGGCAACGCTGGTTTAGACCGTCCGTGAAGTGAGAAGGAAGTGAAAATAACAATAATAAAGTGGGAGTTTTTGTTGAGCGAACTTTAAGTGTTTTCTTGGTTCGCGGAATTGTCAAGGGCGTGTGCCGACCCTGTGTGCTGGGGGTAACACCGCACTGGCACGTTACAAACCTTTGAGTACATTACGTGTTGTAGTTACATGAAAAAACTGTATAAAATTGGTTAAATCAGCAATCAGCAGCGAGATCGGTTAGTCAAGTGGATTCAATAATATTTATAAATAAATAACCGGTACTTTTGTTCAGAGTATCATTTTGCTGAATCCAATAACGTACAACCCTACCTTAGCTTGGGACCGAATATAGTACCAGAGCTGTGCCAAAAAGTTGAGCACGTTTCTTCGGGACCTTCTGGTCTTAGAGTTACCTCTATGGTTCAACAGCTGCCATAGCACGATCTTATCGATGGCGAGAAGAACAAAATACTTTTCGTGATTAGCATTAGCATCGAACAAGTTGCACAATATCGTAGGTGGTACGAATTCAAAACTATTAAGAGCAAGACGGATATCTATAACTGGACAGATAGTAAGTAGGAAATAATTACTATCTCCCAGATAAAGACATATCCCGCTCCAACAGTTAAGGATTGTCCTTGCCACGTCCTTACAACTGGTAGGGATAGGAATGGTATGTTAGTCCAACATTTACTTGAGCGAGATGCAGAGAACTCTACGATCCCTCATAAATGTCTTGGGAATTTAGGAATCATGTTAGTAGGGAAGGTAAGCCATAGGATACACCCAGTCAGTGTTGCTGGCATATGTAGATTTTTTTTAATATATGTTGAAATTGCTGTCTGCTGGAATAAAATGAAGATATAACATGGTGTACTCACCATCGTTGTCACATCCGTGTCGAATAATAGAAGGAATTATGATGTGTTTTATATTTTTTTATTGGTAGATGGGAAAACCTACATCTTCGCCCGTAGGTACAAAATCTCTATGTCTTTTCAACTAAAATCATAATCAATTACAAATTTCAACCAGTGTTCACTCGGCTGTCGACAAAAGCAGGCCACTCTCGATGTGTGCTACGCGATCGTCTGTTTTCTCGGCAGCAACCATTGTGTGGTCCTCCTCATTGTTCTTCATCAGCAGTTCTTTCGGTCGATGCGTCGT